CTCTCTCTCTCTCCCACCTTTCTCTTCATACCAAATTAAACAGAAAGAATAAATGTTCGAGATGCTATATTGAGATGTAGGATTAGCAATTTGTACAAAAAAAAAAAAGAACCGGATTAAGTGACAAATTTGTAAGTAAATTAAGAAGCAAAATTTAAGTCTTAGGGATACTAGAAGACAGATAATGATTTGATTCCTGACTTTTGTCATCTCTAATCAAGCTTTTCCTAACCCTTGATGTCTGTACTGCAGCCACACTGACCTCCTTTCTTATCCTTATGCCTACCATGCGCCCATTCACACAAGGGCACTTACATATGCTATCCCTCTTACTCCATCTTCATTCCTTCCTTCTTCCTTATGTCTTGTTCAAACTTCAAATAGAATCTAAATATTTCTTACTCAGGGTAGCCATTGCTATTCCTCCCAGGACAAATATGGTACTAAAATGCTTTTCCTTTATACATTTTTTATCTTAAAATTATATATTCATATAATCATTTGTGTCTCTATAGAGTTAAAGTTTTATAATGGATGTACTTTGCTGTTCAGTCTAACTTCACTGTTTACCACATTACCTGATTTATAGGGACTAGCCAATAAAAATATTTTGAATGATAAGATAGGTGAGCAAATTACACACATATTTATTTTACATTGGGTGACTTGAAATACAAAAGAGAAGAACCTGACCTTGATGGGAGTTCTGAGATGGCTTTTCTAAGAAAGTTGTATTTTAAATTTTTTCTTTACTTTCTGGAGGGATGAGTCAGATTTTAACTAGTAAATTTGAAGAATCTTCATATGAAAATTATCTGTGGTACAAAGCATTTGGTGTTTTGTAGGAGCATAAAGAAAGCTAGTAGGGCAGAGGCACAGAGAGGCAAGTGGAGATTGAACTGGTCAGCATAGGGCAGGTTGTTCAGGGCCTTTTGGACATTAACATCTGTCTTTCTTTTTCTTAAGTGAAGAGAATGCTCGATTCATTTAGAAAGAGTATTGGGTGAAGAGTTCATAAGGAGAATGTATTTGTACTCAATTTTTAGATAAAATATATAACATATATCAGATATATAGTACAGCATGAAAAAAAGAACATTTTTATTCCCAGTGATATTCTCAAAGGAATTGACTGGCAGTTGGTTACTATTCTTAAACACAAACACAGCATGGTTTTATAACATCTCAGTGATAAATGTTTTTTGCAACATAGTTCCAAAATAGCAAATATGTTAAGCTTATAGGAAATCATTCCAGAGCAGATGCACACAAACACACAAACTACTTGTGAAATTTAAATGTCTAGTAGAGATTTATAAAATAATCACAAGGCTTCTATAAGGCAATCTAATTTCAGGATGGATGATGTCATTTCTCAAGGTTAAAAAGATAAAATTTAAAATGCTATATCCATTTGTCACATACTTCAATGTTAATTCTCCAAAAATGTTTTGAATCAAATCACAGAGTCAAAAGTATTTTTCAGCTAGGTTCAGATCTATATGTGACTCAACTGCCAGAAAATTATTTGGATCTCTTAGAAAACTCTATACACTCAGGCTAGGGTCAAATTTCCTGCAGAATCTCTATTCCCATATGCAGTGAAAGGTGACCACAGCCTGGTGTAACACAGATGTTCCTTGTTCAGTTGACGGTATTTAAGATAAAGGATACACACTCAAAATTATCATGGTCCTTCCACCCGAGGGGTTGAGTGAACTAGCTTCTCTGGGGCTAAGGGCACACCTCCTTGGGGCTTCTAACTGCATCATCAGTGTTAGAAAAGTAACTATAGAAACCTTTCCTGCACTCAGTGTTCAGTTTAATTACCTGCCTTAAATGCAAGAGGATACATTAGATATTTAGATACTAGATATTTAGATACTTTATCCCTCTAGTTCACCCACCTCATTAACCCCACACTTTCAGGTCATCCTTCATCTCTCACACTCCACCTCAATAAACTATTGTCCTCTATTTGTTGCCTTCCCTGAATCCTACCCCACTCCTGGAATCCTTCTACAGTGCCCCCTGCAATTCAAAGTTCATTATTAGCAAAATCTTTTATATCTTCAACCTTTCATCTGAATATTGCCTTCATCGTCTTCGTCAACAGAAACCTGATACACTGCCTCCTTTGCAGCTCTGCAAAGTTAAGACTGTGTCTTCTTTCATAGCCCTTATATCTTGAAACTCACTTAATAAAGGATAACGTATTTTCAAATATTATGATTGGAAAAAACAGTTGAACCCAAGACTATGGATGTTCAGTTAGTTAAGTGCAGGACAAAGAGTTGATGTTTCAAAGGAAGTCAATCAAAATTAAATCAAATAGGAATATTTTGAAGTGAAATCAAACTTAGTTACCAATAATGTGCAAAGTGGCTTATATCCAAATATAAAACCATAATAATATATACTATTTTGGTCTGTAAGTTCTCATCATGTAGTATAAAATAAATAAGTGAACTAACTAATTTAGAGGTATCATAGTTTGAAACAGAATTTCTCATTTAGGGCTCTGCTACATTGCTGGGCATAACCTAATTTTTCCACTTTCTTACAAAATGGAAAACCTTATTTCTCAGGTATTTATAGAAATATTTGTAAAAAAGAATCAACAAGTTAGGACACAAACCAATTCCCTCATCAGTCTTTTGAACTCATAAGGCAACCTCCTATATCAGGACCTTTGCTTTTATTGGTCTTGCTGTCTAGAAAACTCTGCCCCCAGATAGCCACACTGTTCTCTCACATATTTCAGAAATTGTCTATTGTTCCTAGATATACACATCACATAAAACATGTCTCTCCGATAATAGGTGCATAATTATATATTGATGAATTAATGAATTCCCTGATGACTTAGCCAGGTGACTTTGTGTTCATTTGTTTGTCTTCCTTAAAGTCATTATTATTGATACCAGAAATTATTAATTCATTTATGTTAAAATAAACTCCTAGTGGAGACTCAATGTTTTATTTTACATAGAGTAAAATGGCATGCTCAACCTTTATTGGTTGGAGTATGCAATCTTTGATCCATAATGATTTTCTTGAATAGCAGCCAAAGTTTTTGAAATTTTATATTTTTACTTATAACAAAATATGCACATATATATGTTAATGGAAAATATTTTTTTAAATATAAAAAAGAAAATATACTTCTGGAAATCACACTTGACATTTACTTTTCAAATAGTATTTATATGCATAACAAGTAGAGGTGGCAACTTAAAACAACAGCAACAAATACACACACAATATTTTGTTTACAAAATATTGGAATATGTTCAATTGGCAAAAACCAAACATAAACTAAACAAAACACAAGTTGCATTGGCTTCATAGAAGATTAAATGCAAACTTTTAATGTATGGTACTTGCTAAAGAACAACCAGATAATGAAAAAGTTACTCTGAATATTATAAAATGTCAAATGCATTCTAAGTAACTTTTAGATATTTTTAAAACTTCTAAATTATCTGCTTCAATTTAGAGGCATTTTGATATGAGCATATTTGCAATTATTACATTCATATATATTCCTGGAGCAGGTGTGAACATAAAGTTTATAACAGGTATTATATTTCTAGTGTCATCAGAAGTAAATTTATATAGACTGTTATAACATTACTTATATTATCAAGTAAATGTAGAAAATTTCTGGAATAAAAATA